TTTAAACGTTGTGAGCCTTTTGCGGCAGCTCAGGTTTGAATGAAATAAAGTTTTTCTTGAATGTCTTTTGATTGAAATTCTTTTTGTGAGATTTTTGTCTTTCCTATCAGCTTCCCCTGTATCAATGCGGAATGTTGATTATTATTTATTCAATAATGCTAGATGTACATTTTTTATACATTTTAGTTGACATTCCTCCTATTTGGCATAATCTGGATAGTAAACTGTTGTTGGTGAAATCAAAGGAGATAATTGTGCCATGTAGAATGAGTGTCAACCATGATGTCAAGTAGAATGTATGTATGTAGCATGATTGTTGATTATTTACCTTTAAAAGTAATTGCATTAGTTGATGATTATTTTCATCACATAACAGCCTTCTCAAATTTGAAACATTGGGCTTGCCATAGACAGAGTTGATATGTAAAGAATAATATGGAAATTACAGCCAATCATGTTTTTTAAGTTCCAACTTCAAAAATCAAGTTTAAAGTTTTTTTTTAATATAAAAATCAGGTGATAATACATTTTTTAAATATTAATAACGTAAAATTAAATAAATCTACAAACTGGCCACTCGTCAAAACCCTCACCCCCACCCAATTTCAAACCCTAAAACAATTTCATCTCTTCTCTCTCTCCTCTCCCCTCCCTTTTCTCCTCGCTTCTCTCTCCTCCCCTTCTCCATACTCTATCTGTCGACGGTTCAATAGTGTAGTGCCTCGCGAAGTAGATTGTGACCGCCACGCGTTCGAAGCGGCACTGCAATGCTGCGACACCGTATCGCTGCTCAGCGGCCCTAGCAGGCTGCGATACCAAAGCTGTGTCTCACACGCGATGGTATGATGGTGGTGATGAGTTGCGAGTTGCAAGCACTGTGTTAGCGCCTGAGGTATCGTGGTAGCGGCTCGTGTTTTTCGACGTTTTTATTACTGTGGAGGTGAAGTTTAGGGTTTCATTTGCATTTTATTTTTTTAGGTCAAATCTTTGTGGTGCTACTATGGAAGCGTCGTCACGATGCCCAAATTCGGGCACTACAATGGCGAGTTGCAAGCTCTGCGGTGGTAGGTTTGCAGGTCATCGTTGTAGCTGGTGTTTTTCGATTACGAGGTTGTAACCGTGGCGATGGATGAATAGTGGAGTTTACGGTTTCAATTGCAACTTTTTTTTAATTTGTGTCAGTTTGAGTATGGAGGCGGTGGTGATCGATTAGGAGGCGACGATTATGGGTTGTGATGTTCATCTGTTTGTGGTAATGTTTGTGTAGTGCATTTTTCTAGTTGGTGGTGGTGGTTGTTGAGGTGGTGGTGGTGGTGGTGGTTTAGGTGGTAGTGGCGGTGGCGGTGGCGGAGGCGGAGGTGACGACGATAGTGGCGACAGTGGTGACGGCGACGGTGGGTTTGGTTTTTGTTTTGGGATGGGATGGGGTGGGGTCGGGTCGGGTGATTATGACGAATAAATTGATTAATTTGTGATCAATAAATAATATGTGATCAATAAAATATATAATTTGTGATGAATAAATAATATATGATCTAAAAAATGTGAGATTGTAACTAAGCCCTTGTTTGATCCTCATTATTTACAAAATATATTTTTTTTTCTCTTATTTTCAATCACTCATTTTTAGTAAGATAATACTACAAGTAAAACAAAAATCTTTCTTATTTTTTAGCCACACACTGTCCATCAAAATACTATTTCAAAATGTATTTTGCACAAAAAATGGGGCTCAAACAGATACCAAATCGTGATTCACAATTTGTTAAATTGTGACCAATTAATTTGACAATTTATATTCGAAAAATAATTGTGACAAATTAAATGTGTGATCTATGATCAATTAAATTGATAATTTGTGAAGTGTAAAAAAAGTTATCACTATAAAATTTGTGATATGTGACCAAAAAATAATACGTGATCAGTTAATTTGACAATTTGGGACTATAAAATAAATTGTGACCACTAAAATTTATAATACGTGATCGAAAAATAATATGTAATCAATTAATTTGATAATTTATGACTATAAAATAAGTTGTAACTTATAAAATTTGTGATTTGTAATCGAAAAATAATATGTGACCTATTAATGCGATAATTTGTGATTGATAAAGAAATTATGATATATAAAATTTATGATTTGTGACTGTAACGTCTGTTATTATGGCCAGGACGTAATTATGATCATAAATTGTATAATATTTTGACTTTAAAAGATTTAATTAGTAAAATGTAATTAAAATCTTATTTTTTAAATAATAAAACTAATTTCTTAATTTTGAAATTGTATTTGGCAACCACCTTATATATATAATATTCCCTTGAATAATTGTTGATAGGAGTCGACATCGGGTGGTTCAATATGAGATTCTTGATCTGACCCATTTGCATTTTGATCAAACTAAACTGGCTAATGAGTCTAATTCAGATAGTTTCAAATATAAATACCTAGTCTTAATTCTTGACGTGACAATCTAAAAAATCTTTTGACGAAAGCTCTTATTTGGTGTAGATTTTAATGCAAATTAAAATGTGTGGCTGAAAAATCGTGATTCCGTAAAATATATAATTAAAATTAATTGTTGACTTTCACCTAAAATTTTAGTCTATACCAAATAGGGGCAAAATATACTGTTAAAACTTACTTCCTTGAAAAAAGCACTTTGATTGTGAAATAGCTCTCTCTCTCTCCCCCCTTCCTTTTTTACCAAGACTATACGGATGATGAGTTGATGACAAAAGCTCCATTAACCACTAAAGGTTAAGGGAAAATTATAGCCCACTCTCACGCTTATTTTATAGGTAATGTAGTATTTTGGTTCCCAATCTTCATTAATTGATATCTGAGTTTTTAACTTTTCAATTGTATAATGCTTAATATTTCTTCACAACACACACAAACATATAAGCACTTTGGGAAAACCTTTTTATTTGATTAATTCATTTTGATGCATATACAAGACCAGCAAAGTTTCTGATTTTCCACATGTATCGCACTGTCCTTGCATCGGAGTTTTCCCTTCTGTTAACACCACAGCCTGAATCACCTTCCTGTCATTGAGTCCTGAAAATTGAAAAGAGAAATGAAAAGTACAGTTAGGATAGTGAAGAAGATATATATATATTTCTATACCTAAACA